CTGTGTGCGGACAGCGCGGCCACGGCCGGCCCTTGCCGGCCGTCCGGCAATAATTTCCGAACAAACTGACCTCAAATAGCATGTCATGACATATGAACTGATTTATTACTGAAGACATGAAAATTTGCTCAACGGACTGAACTTTGGCCGCGGCGGACGCACCGTGCGCCGCCGACGGTGTTGTGCCGTTTTATGACCGAACATCAATTCTTCTCGGCAAAACACAATTAACTGAACTTAAACATGATATACTGAACAACTGAACATGTTGGTTCGAAAGAACATTTATTTAGCAAATATGCTACTCGTGAACGGCCCGTGGCGCGTGCTACGTGCACGGCCACGCCACCTTTGGCCGAAACACCGCAAAACATGATTAATCATCCGAACATTTAAGCTAAACTAAACATGATTCTACATATAAAGACTAAATATGCGAAGATAGTTCGGAGAATTTTAACTTAAAACATGACATGATCGGCATGGCTTCTCGCACGGCCTTAACGGCATAAAACGCGCATGATCGTCAAAACTGAAAACTAAGCTTAATAAACGTATTAATCTCAGCCTGCAACGACAGGGAATTTACCTCCGATTATGGTCAACTGACGGCACTACTTCGAATTCCCTTGGTCGTGTGGCTCTCCGCGCGCGATGCGACGCCGTGCGGTACCTTGCGACGTAGCGTGCGATGGCTTGCGGTACGTGCGACGGACTACTACAACACGAGCAGGTGCTTGCGTGCGCTTGATCGCCGAGCGATGCGCTGACTGCCGAGGAGTACTGCAGCTACGCGCGGGGTTACTGATTAGCTTGCGGTGCAGCGTGATCTAGCGTACGGTGCGTGCGTACTGGTCCTTCGGTGTGGCAACTTAAGGTACTAGAAATGGAAAAATTTCTCTAACTCTCACCCTCTCAACTATATATGTAATATGCTGAATATAAGCTCATATAAGCTTAGGAAAAAGTTGGGAAAATTCCAAATTGACTACATATATATAGAGTGCCGAGAGATAATATGATGAGGGGTAATGTGGTTAAATTTCCATGCACCACTTGCCACACTTAGAGAATGTAAGAGAGCTTACTCATCCAAATCAAAGCCTAATCATTCCATAAACTCATGTGATGATGCCACGTTTATTGGCTTAATAATGAAGGAAACTTGGACAATTATCCATCATCATGCTACACTAGCTACGCACGGCTTATGAAGGAAATTTTAAATTTCCGTACGGCTTTAGTTACTAATCTTGTGATTAATTAATAATTAATCACTTAATTATGTTTAATTATTCAATTAAACATAATTCTTAATTACCAAAATTATTCCGAACGTAATCAGTACGTCGAAAATAATTTTCGGTAATCTCGACTGAAAAGACTGAAAATAATTAATTCCGAAAATTAATATCGGACTGAAACTGACGGGATATTACAAGCCTCCCTCCTTACAAAATTTCCGTCCTCGGAAATTCAGAACATAACTGAAAATACATGAACTATGTACATAGAACAAGAAAATATGTACATCAAAACTGAAAATCTGGAAAACGAGCGCGAATATCAGACTCCGCCTCCCAAGTAGCTCTGTGGCGATCCCACTGAATACGCACGAGGGGAACATCTCGCTTCCGGAGCCGACAAATCTGATGGTCTAGTACAGCTACCGGTCGCTCCTCGTATGAAAGATCTGGCTGAACTTGAATATCTGAATGGGGAATGACATGATCGGGGTCGCACACATACTTTCGCAACATCGATGCGTGAAATACATTATGAATGCCTGATAACTCGGGAGGTAGGGCTAATCGATACGCGACCTCGCCTACTCGCAAGAGAACCTCGAACGGACTGATGAACCGAGGGTGTAGCTTCCCTCTCTTTCCGAATCGCACAACTCCGCGAATCGGACGAACTCTGAGGAAGGCTGGCTCGCCAACCTCGAACTGAATATCTCGTCGATGATGATCGGCGGAAGATTTCTGTCGACTCTGAGCTGTCCTGAGTCTCTGCCGGATCAACTCGACCTGATCTGCCGTCTCCTCGATCATCTTGGGACCGAGTACTCGTCGCTCTCCGACGTCGTCCCAATAGAGAGGGGAACGACACTTGCGACCGTAAAGTGCCTCGTAAGGAGCCATCTGAATAGAAGAATGGTAGTTGTTGTTATACGCAAACTCGGCGTACGCCAACAACGACTCCCACTTAGCACCCCTGTCAACAACTAAAGCGCGAAGCATATCCTCAAGCGTCTGAATAGTCCGCTCTGACTGACCATCTGTCTCTGGATGATAGGCTGAACTGAACTCAAGCTTCGTGCCCATCGCCTCATGTAAGCTGTGCCAGAATCTGCTAAAGAATCTGGGATCTCTGTCTGATACAATAGTGACGGGCACTCCGTGGAGTCGGATGATCCCACGGGTATATATCTCAGCCAACTTGTCCAGAGACATCTTCATCGAAACGGGTAAGAAATGCGCGACCTTAGTCAATCTGTCGACCACGACCCAGATAGCGTCGTGATGTTCAGACGACCTCAGTAATCCCGTAACAAAATCCATCGTGACTTCCTCCTATTTCCACCTCGGAATCGGCAGTGGCTGCAGGAGGCCAATCGGACTCTGATGTTCGGCTTTAACTTGCTGACAGGTAAAACATCTCCTGACGAACTCGGCGACGTCCTTCTTCATACCTCGCCACCAGAACGACCCTTTCAGGTCGTGATACATCTTCGTGCTCCCGGGATGAGCCAGATAGGGTGCGGTATGGGCCTCTGATAGAATCTCTTTCCGCAACGCCTCGACTTTCGGGACCACAATCCTGCCTCTGAACTCTAGGGCACCATCGGCACCTAGTTGAAAACCCTCGACGCCTCTGGCGCGAACTTTGGCCTCCATGACACGAACGAACTCGTCAGAAGCCTGCTCTCGCTGGATTCTCTCTCTCAGCGTCGGTTGAAGCTGCATGGCATTGACACTGGCACTGGTACTCCCCAAAACTGCTGTGGGAATTGCATCGATCGCCTGAAGCTGCATCCGGGCAAACTCCTGAATCAACGGACTCTGCTGAGTAATGACGTACGTCAAGTCACCCCTCACCTTTCGGCTAAGGGCGTCAGCAACGACGTTCGCCTTTCCCGGATTATACTGAATCGACCAGTCGTAATCCTTGACGAGCTCTAACCAACGGCGTTGTCTCATGTTGAGCTCCTTCTGAGTAAAGATATACTGCAAGCTCTTATGATATGTGAAAATCTCACAATGACCGCCGTAAAGATAGTGTCGCCAAATCTTGAGAGCATGAACGATTGCTGCTAACTTCAAGTCGTGGGTCGGATAGTTCTGCTCATGCGACTTAAGCTGACGTGAAGCATACGCAACGACCTGGCCATCTTGCATAAGGACGCATCCCAAGCCCTGTCTCGAAGCATCGCTGAAGATGGTGAAACTCCGAGAAGGATCGGGAATAGTCAACACCGGTGCTGAAGTTAATCTCCTCTTGAGCTCCTGAAAGCTCAACTCACATCGGTCAGTCCATTCGAACTTCACAGACTTCCTCGTCAGCTGGGATAGAGGGAGGGCGATCTTGGAAAAGCCCTCGATAAACCTGCGGTAATAACCAGCTGCACCGAGAAAACTGCGAACCTCGGACGGACTCCTCGGTGTCGACCAGTTCTGAACAGCTGAGACCTTGGAAGGATCCACCTCGATACCTGCCTGAGTAATCACATGACCCTGAAAGGATACTCGCTGGAGCCAGAACTCGCATTTGGAGAATTTTGCAAACAACTTTTCTCGTCTGAGGGTTTCGAGAACCACCCTCAGATGCTCCTCGTGCTCCTTCTGGCTCTTCGAGTAGATAAGAATATCGTCAATAAAGACAATAACGAACTGATCGAGGTAGGGATGAAAGATACGGTTCATGAGGTCCATGAAAACTGCTGGCGCATTGCTGCGACCGAATGGCATGACAACGAACTCGTAATGGCTGTAACGAGTCCTGAAAGCGGTCTTAGCGATATCTGACTCTTTAATCTTCAGCTGGTGGTAGCCTGATCGTAAATCAATCTTTGAGAACACACAGGCTCCCCTCAACTGATCAAATAAGTCGTCGATCCTGGGAAGCGGGTACTTGTTCTTGATCGTCAACCGGTTAAGATCCCGGTAGTCGATACACATGCGCATGGATCCGTCCTTCTTCTTAACAAAGAGAACGGGTGCTCCCCACGGTGACATGCTCGGTCGGATGAAACCGAGTCGTAACAGCTCCTGAATCTGAGTCTTAAGCTCCTGCAACTCCTTAGGCGCCATACGGTACGGGGCTTTGGACACTGCACCGGCCCCTGGAATGAGATCGATAGAGAACTCCACCTGCCGGTTAGGCGGTCCTCCTGGAAGTTCGTCTAGAAATACGTCCACAAACTCTCGAACGACTGGAACATCGTGAGGTGAACGTGCTTTCTGAGATTCATCGACAAGGCTCACTAGATAACCCTGGCAGTTGCCTCGTCGCAGCAACTTAGTGGCTTTTGCCATCGAAACAACATGAGGCAAAGAACGATTTCTGGAGCCGAAGAAAGTGATCGACTCGTCTTACGGAAGATAAAGAGTAGTCTCCCGGTCATGGCATCTGATATCTGCATGATAAAAGGATAGCCAATCCATTCCGAGAATAAGGTCGAAGTCCCTCATCTCGAGAACAAACGCGTCGGTAGACAAAACTCGGCCACCGATGGAAAGGCTAAGATCTGAAGCTTTAGCTGAAGTTACTATCTTTCGTCCCGAGGCCAAACTTACCTCAAGAGAATGGATAGCGGTAGTAGCGTGAACTCCGATGGCGTCAAGACATCGTCGTGAAATGAAAGTATGTGTCGCTCCAGTATCGAATAAAGCAAACACGGGAACATTATTAAGAATAACCATCCCTGACATGGTACCTGGCTGCTGTTCGGCCTCTGCCTGATCGACGGCATAAACTCGGGCCTGCTGTCTGCCCCTCTGCTGCTGCTGCTGAGGCTGCCTCTGTGCCTGCTGACGGGGCTGCTGCTGCTGCGGTGGCTGCTGAGGCTGCTGCGCCTTCTTCGGACAACGATTCGCGAAGTGTCCGGGCTCGTGACAGTAGTAGCATACATCCTGACCAAAGCGACACTCGCCTCGGTGAAGTCGTCCGCATGTCAGGCACTGAGGGATCTGCTGTAGCCTCTGTCGGGTCCTCTTATCTGCCGGGGCACCTTTCCCCTTCCTCTTGTTGTTCTTTGGCGGCTGGGTAGATGGTAGAGCTGGCATCGGTGGAACTGAAGACGACTGAGCAGGGGCGGATGACTGGAAATGATCACGGACGGCCTCCCTCCTAATGCTGGCATCCACCTCCTGGGCAATGGAGACTGCACGTGCGTACGTCTGTGTCCCGTGGCCTACGATGTTATGACGGACTGCTGGGTAAAGCCCGTCAATGAAACGCTGTGCTCGCTGGGCCTCTGTGCGGACCAAATCAGGAACGAAAGCTGCAAGTCTAGTGAACTCCCTCTCGTACTCGTCAACAGTACGAGTACCCTGCTGGAGCGATAGAAACTGACGCTCCATCTCTGCTCGGTAGTATGTGGGATAGTACTTCTCGCGGATTAACTCCTTGAGCATCTCCCACGTACATCCCGCCTTCTCTCCGGGAAACATGCTCCAGTAAGCGTTCCACCAGAGCCTGGCATCACCGGTGAGCTAAAGCTGAGCACAAACAACGCGATATCTCTCAGGGCACTCCATGACCTCGAAGATAAACTCCAGGCCCTGAATCCACTCGTCAACTATACGAGGATCTCCCTGCCCTGAGAACTTTTCGGCATGATAGTCGTGGAACTGGGCGACCACTGTAGCCTGAGTAGGAGCTAGATGATCGGGTTCCCTACGTGGCGGCATCTGAACATTGAGAAAGTTCAAAATTATTGAACACGTGGAAAAATATTCTGACTGATTTTCTAAAGTACACAGATCTCTTGACGAGTTGCCAAAAATGGCCGATAAATACTGACATGAAACCTGAGGAACTCTAGAGTCATATCGAAAGATACTAAAGTCTAGAGTCATGTCTGAGTGTACTGATCTCTAAAGTCAGGTCTGAATATACTGAATTCTAGAGTTATATCGGAACTCTATAGTCTGAACCTGATTCGAGCATCTTAACTAAGTCTGATTACTGATTTTTGAGCATAGACAAAGTAATATGTTTATAACTGAAAAACTGAATCAGTACTTACCTGGTGTCGGCGAGGCGTGAGCGTGACGGTTCAGGTTTTTTTTTTCTGAAAATTGCTGACTGAAAAACTTTTCAGCGACGCAGAAACGTGCTCTGATACCAATTGTAACACCCCGACCTTTTTTTTTTTAATATATTAGAGTACGCATTTTTCGCAATATTTTCTAAAAAACATTAATCTTTGCGAAAACTGATTCGGGATGCTACCGTGAAAAACTTGATTTTTCTGAAAACCGTTAAAATTTTAAACTGATAAATAAAAACGGTTATACTGTCTTATCCGACTAATGTCGGAACAAAAACTGAATATAAGTACTGAAAGTTTTAGCGGAAACCAAGCGTGGCAAAACATATATACATATAATCACAAATGTCCTGAACAGCCCGCCCGCTCACTCCTCGTCTCCGACCCTGCGACCTGAAAAACGTGAAAGGCGTGGGGCGTGAGCACTAAAACACTTGTGCTCAGTAGAAACTCATACTAATGTAAACATCGTAAATAATAACAATATCATGAACTAAGCATATATAACTGAACT